GGGGAAGAGGAGCGGAGGGGGCTGTGCTGGAGCTGAGATTTGAAGAGTGACGGAATTTTTCCAGCAGACAAGGAGAGATCTTTGCAGCAGAAAAGACTGGGGGGTGAAAACATCAGCTCCATAATAAACTGCTGAGTGTAAAGTGGGACTGAGAGGAGGATGCAGACTCAAAGGGCTGTCCACGCGCTGCTCCGGAGTTCAATGGGGGCCATGCAGAGGCTTTGACCCAGAAAATGGCAGAATCTGCATGGAGTGAAGAGGAGCTAGGCAAAAAAGGAAAAAATAGAGAAAATCCAACTACTTTAAAAATAAGACCTTCTCTTATCAAAGTCACCGCAAGGAAATTCCAACGAGTCAGACACTGGGAATGGTTTCTGCAACATATTTAAATGACAAAGAACTAATATCCAGAATATATAAAGAACTGTATGAGTCAACAAGAAAATTTTTTTAAATGGACAAAGGAAACAAACAGGAATAGCACAGAAGAGGAAGCATAATTGCCCCATAAACATATGAAAAAGATGTTCAATCTCATCAGCAACAAAGGAATAAAAATGTCACATGCACAAAACTGGCACAAAAAATTGGACGATGCTAACTGTCAGTGAAGATACAGAGCAGTGTAGAAACTCCCATCCACTGCTGGCAGGAGCGCAAATCGATACAAGCATTTCAGAAAGCACTTTGACATTTGGACCCCCTAGAACTTTTGCATACCTTTGAACATCTGCATGCACTTGAGCCAGAAATTGAGTAATATTTCTCAACGAGGACCAGTTTAGTTTTCGTTTTGATTTTCTATTTGTTGGGGGAATAATACTTTTGCAAAATACAGTAAAAATGAATTCCTAAAAAATGAAGTGAAAAAAGACACACTATACAAGCCCTGATATTTTATTATTAGATTCAACAGACATGAAGTTACTTATGTATATACCAAGGAGACATGCAAGAATGTTCCTGGGAAGTTGTTTTGTAATAATGAAAAACAAGAAGTAACTCACATGTCTGGTGACAGGATTAGAGATTGGAGAGAAAGAAATTGTGGCATAATCACATGACAGATTATTATGGCCTATGATAGAGTTGTGAAAATATTTGAGCTATAACTACGGAACTCCACTAGTAAAGCCTCAGAACATAACTGAGAGAAAAACAAGCCTCAGAAAACTCTAATACAATGCGTTTTTTTTTAAAAAGCCTTATCAAAGTACAGTGTGCACTTCCATGTTGTGGCATAATTCACCCATGTTAAGTGTACAATTTGATGATTATTAGATTATCTAGAGAATTGTGCAACTATCACACTAATTTCACTGCATTTCCATCACCTCCAGAATAACTCTCATGCCCATTTTCAGTCACTCCCCATTCCTACCCTCAGCCCCAGACAACCCCTGATCTAAATTCTGTCTCTATAGATTTGACTTTTCTGGACATTACATATAAATGGAATCATGGGATAGGTAGCCTCTTTCACCTGAGCATAATGTTTTTGGAGTTCGTCGTGTTATAGCATGTAACAGAACTTTGTTCCTTTTTATTGCCAACTAATATTGTGTGGATCTACTGTATTTTGTTTAATCATTCATCAGTTTATGGACATTTGGGTCATTTCCACTTTTCAGCTCCTTTGAATAATGCTGCTTTGCAGGCATGTCTTTGCACAGACGTGTTCATTTCTCTTAGGTACATACCTAGCTGACATCATCTTTGTAAAGCTCTAAAACAAGCAGAACTGAACAGTGTGATGTTTAGAGGTACATACAAAGTCCTAAAACTATTGTTTTTTTTTAAATTGAAGTATGTCAGTTACAAAGTGTCAGTTTCTGGTGTATAGCACAATGTCCCAGTCATGTGTATACATGCATATATTTGTTCTCATATTCTTTTTCATTAAAGGCTATTACAAGATATTGAATATAGCTCCCTGTGCTATACAGAAGAAATTTGTTTTTTAATCTATTTTTATATATAGTAGTTAATATTTGCAAATCTCAAACTCCCAAACTTATCCCTTCCCACTCCCTTTCCCCCAGTAACCATAAGATCGTTTACTATGTCTGTGAGTTTGTTTCTGTCTAAAACTATTCTTTACAAGAGAATGACAAAGACAGTTTTGGGGGGAGTCAGTTGGGGGTGCATGTGGGGGCAGGAGATGGAAAAGGGAAGGACAGGACTCAGCTGGACCAGAGTAATGCCGGGTGGTGGGTTTATGGGTCTTCATTTTATTATGCTTTGTAACTTACATATACATTAGCATATATAATACGTGTTTGTATAATATATGTAACATAATAAGGAGACATTTTAAAAAATGAAAGCCTATCTCCAATACCCAACAATTCCACTGGGTTCTCATCTCAGAATAACCAGGTCACAGCTGACTGGATAAAGAAGATGTGGTGTATATACATATATATATAGATGTGGTGTATATACATATATATATATATATATACACAATTCAGTATTACTCAGCCATAAAAAAGACTGTATTAATGCCATTTGCAGCAACATGGATGGACCTGGAGTTTGTCATTCTAAGTGAAGTAAGCGAGAAAGAGAAAGAAAAATCCCATATGATATTGCTTTTATGTGGAATCTGAAAAAAAAGGGGGGGATACAAGTGAACTTATCTACAAAACAGAAACAGACTCACAGACATTGAGAAAGAACTTATGGTTACCATGGGAAGGGATAAATCAGGAGTTTGAAATTTGCACCTCTTGGGGAGTGATAGAAATGTTAGCTATCTTGATTGTGGTGGTAGTTTTATTGGTGTATATTTCTGTCAAAATTCATTAAATTGTCCATCTGAAATATGTGTAGTTTACTGTACAGGAATCACACCACAATAAAGGTGTTGTTTTTTTTTTTAAAGAAAGAATAAGCAAGTCACTGTTCCGGCACCTGTCTGTACTCAGCCTGTTCTCAGTTCCCTCTCCTCTGGCTGCGCTGGCTCCCTAGCTGTTCGTCAAAGGCAAGGAGCAGCGCCTGCAAGTGCTAATGCCTTCACTGAAAAGCTGCTCCCCAGAAGTCTGCTCCCTGGCCCCCTAAGGGCCCTTCTTCCCTGACTGCACATCTGTGTCCTCTCCCTTCACTCTAAACCCCTCAGCTTCAGTTACTCTTGGACACAGCTTTATCATCCTCGGCACATGTTTATTTGTTGTGTCTGTTGCCACCCACAGACACAAGCACACAGAATGTCAGCTCCCAGGATCTGGGCTCTGCAGGGCTCACTGCCGAGTCCTCAAGTCCTCAGCATGCAGAGGTGCCTGGCCTTAACGAGAATCAGTAAATACTGAGTTAATTAAAGCAGCCAAGCTTGTGATGAGATGGCGAACACTGGTGGTATCCAACTAGCGGCTCTCGTCAGCTGAAGGCACAAAATGCGGTGCTGTGAGCAACCTGTACAGACGCCCCCAGAGGAATGTATGATTTCAGTTGGACAGTTTGAGGTTTTGAAATGGTTATCAAACTCCACCCCCACCCCCCACAAGCACCCTCAAGGACCCCTAGGGGTCCAGGAGCTCAACTGGAGGCAGCTGGGCTAGGTGAGCCTTACTTTGCAAAGCTGGGATTCCACATTTCTGTGGCAGGGTGATCTCTGGGGTAAAGGGGTCTTACCGTCGTCACCATCATAATCCAGACCGCAGACAGTTACTTCTGGAAGGCAGTTGAGCGTGAGCCCAAAAACCCAGGGAGTTCTGGGCTGGCAATGTAGATTTGGAAGCTGTTTCCAGTACCAGTCTCACCATCTACCCCATGTAAGCTTAACTCTAGGGCTGCAGTGAGCAACATGGAAACCACTGGCCAGTGTGGCTATTGAACATCTGAAATGTGGCCAGTGCAACTGGATTTTAATTTTACTTAGTTTTAACTTAAAAACAGAAACAGTGTAAGCTATTTCCCCATTGAACACAAATTTATTGCTGTATTATGCTGTTGAAAATTTAGCATCTAAATTCAGAGGTGTAAAATGCACACCAGAGTTTTAAAACTCGTACACAAAAAAAGGTAAAACATCTCATTAATAATTTTTATATTGATTTTTATATTGACATGATAATATTTTGGATATATTGATTCAAATAAAATGTTATTAAAATGAATGTTACCTATTTCTTTTAGTTTTTTTTAAGGTGGCTCCTAGAAAACATAAAATTACGTGGTTCTCATTATCTTTCCGTTAGACTCATCTCCATCATCACAAGAAAGTTCCATTGAACATTACTGGTCTAAAGTCTAAACAAACTGTACTCACCCTTGGCCTCCAAGCATCCCCATCATTCGCACTTCCACAGTTGGCCCAAGCTTTCTGCCAGGGAGCCCTAAACCTCTCCAGCTCTCTGAGGCTAAACCCTGCCCTTCTCTGAGTGAAGCTGCTTTGCCAGTCCCCTCCAGCCTGCATGACCATCCTCCTCTAGCTCCTTAGCACCTCCTATTTATAACAGCTGTGGGTTCTGTTCTCTGTGGATTTTGTCCAGCAAAAGTCCTACCACGGAGGAACGAAATTACTCAAGACTTTATCAAGTCAACAGAGTGAGAGGGAGCTGGAGACTGACTCCCCTAGCTCCTCCAAAGCGCTTGTATTTATTGAGAATAGTCATAGAATCAAGGTGAAATACGTCATAAGAATGAGTAAAGGGCATGGTATACATGCAGGGATGCAGGTTAGCAGTTTCAGTTCGTGAAACAGAGACATTATAATCTTAATTTAAATTTAGAGAGAAGGTTACAATCCTGATGGTACAAATGGTTATTTTAAGCCTCAATCATGAGCAAGGTTAGTGTTTCAAATAATTGATAACCCAGACCACCACAGAGTCTCTATACAATGATCAGAAATCATCTAAGCATGCAAAGCAGCCCAGCTGTTCCCAGCCAAGGGCTAAGTCACAGTTTTCTGTGAGCAAGAGCAGCTCACATCCACCTGCGCCTGATAAGCAAAGCATGTCCTGCAGGGTAGGGCAGGGGACGAGTTATGGTTTTCCATAAGCATAAGCAGCCCTGAACCTATGACCTTGAGCTAAGTAAGCAAAGCGAGGAAAGCATGTCTCTGCTTTTTACGAGCAGATTCCTGCTAGCAAAGCAGCTTCAAGGCAAGTGAGCTAAATTCCATAGATAAGGTGGTGACAGGTATTGGGAATTCAGTCTTTTTTCTCTTAGACATTTTGCTTTGAAGTAGCAGTATAATGACAAATATAGAAAGCATTGGTTTTGATTATACATTTCTTATGTGCTTACATACAGCTGAGAATACATAAAGGTGAGAATATGATTTGATAAAGCAATCATTTCAGTATCAAAGTCTGTTAACCCAAGTTTGTGCTCCCACAAACAGCCATAAGCACAGCCTTGGAGAGCTCTGTTCTCTTCACCTGCTTCTACATTAAAGGCAATTATCTTGTATTTCTCTCTCAGCCGAATGCTTTACCAATAAAGGGTGTTGGCTGATAATTTTGATAATAATAACATCTTATTTTCATGTGACAACTGACAAGAGATCTGTCTTCATTTTCCCACAACCCTTAGAGGGAGGATGGGTAAACATGTTTACAGTTAATATACCCAAGAGGAAATGAGGCTCAAAGAGGTTATTTTGCTCATATCATAAGGCTTAAATGTAGCCCAGATTTTTCTGTCTCCTAATTCAGGCTATTTCCCCTACACCTGGCTTTTAGTGTCCATTTGAGTTAATGCTGAGTAAATGGAGAAAGGCAAGTTTAGCATGGGTTGAGGAAGCTGCCTATCCATGTTAGAGGCAGGACTTGAGCTGGGCTTTGAGAGATGGGTAGGTTTTGGCTAAGCAAAGAGGTAGTAGGTGGGAAATAATAGTAATCAGGAGATTCCTTGATGAACATAGAATGATGGAAGTCAACATTTGGGCATACTGTTTAATAAATAGCTTTACTGAGATATAATTCATGTGCTATGAAATTCCCCCCTTTTGAAGTGTATAGTTCGGTGGTTTTTAGAATAGTCACTGATCACTACTCGTTTCAAAACATTTTCATCACCTTATAAAGAAATTCCACAACATTGGCAGTCACTCCCATTCCCTCTCCTCCTAGCCTCTTGCAACCACTGATCTATTTTCTGTCTACAGATTTGCCTATTCTAGACATTTCATGTAAATGATTTTATCCAATATGTGGCCTTTTGTGACTGTTTTCAAGGTTCATCCATGTTGCAGCATGTCATCAATCCTTCATTTCTTTTTATGGCTGAATAATATTCCATTGTATTCATATACTGCATTTTGTTTATCTGTTCATCAGTTGATGGACATTTAGGTTGTTTCCAATTTGGGGCTATTGTGAATAATATTATGCTGCTTTGAATATTTGTGTAAAAGTTTTTGTATGGACATGTTTTCTTTTTTTAATTGAAGTATAGTCAGTCTACATTGTTGCATCAATTTCAGGTGTACAGCATAATGTTTCAGTCATACATATACATACACATACATATATTCTTTTTCATATTCTTTTTCATTATAGGTTGCTACAAGATATTGAATATAGTTCTCTGTGCTATACAGTATAAACTTTATCTATGTTATACATAGTAGTTAGTAACTGCAAATGTTGAACTTCCAATTTATCCCTTCCCACCACCATTATCCCTGGTAACCGTAGTTTTTCTATGTCTGTGAGTCTGTTTCTGTTTTGTAAATAAGTTCATCTATATCTTTTTTTTTAAGATTCCAGTTACAAGTGATATGATATGGTATTTTTCTCTCTCTTTCTGGCTTACTTCACTTCGAATGATGATCTCCAGGTGCATCCATGTTGCTACAAATGGTATTATTTTATTGTTTTTTTATGGTTAAGTAGTATTCCATTGTATAAATATACCACAACGTCTTTATCCAGTCATCTGTCAATGGACATTTAGGTTGCTTCCATGTCCAACTATTGTAAATAGTGCTGCTATGCACACTGAGGTGCATGTATCTTTTTGAATTAGAGTTCTCTCCAGGTATATGCCCAGGAGTGGGACTGCTGGATCATACAGTAAGTCTATTTTTAGTTTTTTGAGGAACCTCCATACTGTTTTCCATAATGGCTGCACTGAACTTACATTTCTAACAACAGTGTAGGAGGGTTCCCTTTTCTCCACACCCTCTCCAGCATTTATCGTTTCTTGACTTTTGAATGATGGCCATTCTAACTGGTGTGAAGTGATACCTCATGGTAGTTCTGATTTGCATTTCTCTGATAATTAGTGATATTGGGCATTTTTTCATGTGCCGATTGGCCATTTGTATGTGCATGGACATGTTTTCAATTCTCTTGGGTGTATGCCTAGGAATGGGATTACAGGAGCCCACGGTTACTCTGTTTAACATTTTGAGGAACTGCCCATCTGTTTTCCAAAGTTTATTTTAGGCACCTTGGTAGTTGTGAAGTGGTGTCTCATTGTGATTTGATTTGCATTTCCGTGATGACTAATGAAGTTGAGCAACTTTTCATGTGCTTATTGGTCAGTTGTGTGTCTCTGGAGAATGTCTCTTCAAATTCTCTGCCCATTTTTAATTGTTATTTGTCTTTTTATCATTGAGTTGTAAGAGTTCTTCATATATTCTGGCACAAGTCCCTTGTCATTTACATGCTTTGCAAATATCTTCTCTCATTCTGTGGGTTGTCTTCATTTTCTTGATGGTGTCCTTCGAAGCACAAAGGGTTTTAATTTGGATGAAGACCAGTTTATCTATTTTCTTCTGTCACTTGTGCTTTTGGTGTCATACCTAGGATGCCATTGCCTAACCCAAGGTCACAAAGATTTATACCTGTTTCTTCTAAGATTTTTATGATTTTAGCTCTTACATCAAGTCTGTGATCCATTTTGGGTCAATTTTTTTTATAATGGTATGAGGTAGGGGTCCAACGTCATTCTTCTACCTGTGGAAATCCAGTTGCTCCAGCACTGTTTGTTAAAGACGTCTTCTCTTTCCCCTACCCCCAGGGTGCCACTTAATTGTCCTCACACCCTTGCCAAAAATCAGTGGAACATAAACGTGTGGGTTTATTTCTGGACTACTCCATTGTTGGGCATATTTTCTAATGGATATTTTTCCCAAACTGGTAACTGGTAACCTGTCCTTCCCTGGAAGAGAAATGGAGCGATGGCAAGCTCTCCCAAGCAGACTGCATTTCCTTGGTGGGTCAGGTGTCCGTGGGGTCATAATTACATCCTCCTGGGGGATTTGGAACCTGCTCCATTGTTTTGATGGCAGCTGGGAGGTACTTGACTGAACAAAAGACCTTATCTCTTTACTACCTCTCAAGGTTATTATAAATATCAAATTAGATCATTTACACAAAAGAATTTAGAAAAGTCTAAAGTGCTATCCAAATGTAAGTTGTACTTACTTTTAGATTATCTTTCAACTCCATTTAGCCTTTGCTTTTATGATTTTTAATGAGGCAGACGCTTTTCCATACTGAACTCAGTCCGGAACCCAGATGTTCTTTAGACATCGTCACAGGGTCACATGGTTAGGCCTGAGAATGGACCAGCAGAATGGAACACCTGCCCTACCAGCTTCCCAGACACAGTTCTCAAAGACAAGGCCTGGCTCAAACTTGCCTCCCTCCTGTTTCTCTCCCGGTAGAAGAGAAGGGCTCCCTGGTTACAAACTAAGCCTCAAGCTCTTTTCCCTCCCTACCCGTCTTGTCTAGGACCTCTCCTTTGGGGCCTGAAGGGGTACCACTCTCAAAACCCACACCCCCACCCAAGCCTCCACTGGTCAAGAGACCCTGTGCCCTCCCAGAAGACAGCAGTTCACAGTGCACACACGGCCCACTGCCCTCAAAGCCTGGAAAACCAAGCTGTTAGGACCACCCGAGAGCAGGCTGGCTCTGAGCCAGGCCCCTGCCCTCAATGGGGCTGCTCTGGTTACAGACATCCACTTAGCCCTGAAGTGTCCACTGGTGTGAGGGAAAGCCATGGGCTCAGTTCTCTCCCTACTCTCCCCCTCCATAGTATTTAATGACAACACTGACAATGCCCTGTCTCCCCCTCCTCCTAGAGGTGGGCAGCCACCCTCCTCTTCTCCCCACCTTCCTCCCCAGCCCCCCTCCTCCTCCACACATCCTCTCCCTCGCACCATGTCATCTGACAACTCAGTATAACCTTGGGGGTACTCGGGCAACACAGCCTTCTGCACACATTCCACAGGGCATGGTGGGCCCACGTGTCCCTCAGAGCCCCAGGCACCACACGCAGATACACTGGAGCCCAAGTGATTCCCAAGGATCCCAAGCAGCTGAGTGGGTTGGGGTCTCCTGAGCAGCTGTCATGGCTCCTTCCCTGCTCTCTCTGCCCAGACTCTGCTTTTTCCATCTCCCTGCCCACACCCTGTTGGTGTCTGCTAGGTGTAGGCCCTCCCAGGGCTGAAGAGTTAGGGGAGGACCCTTAGCCTCTACAGTGGCCTCAAGAGCATGCCACTCTTTCCTCCCCCGTGCTTGTCACTTGGACACATGGATAAGAGAGAAAGTGATGGGGAGTGTGGAGATCTCGGGCGACTTGGAGCGAGCCATTCAACCTGAGTCTTAATGTCTTCATCTGTCGAAGAAGGAGGTTGCTCTCATCTCTGTAGCTCTCAAAGTCTATGTGGTTGTTTCTGCCTGAGTGAATGGCTTGTATGAAGAAAGCAGGTGCCCCACCCAGTCCCCAGGTGAGCCAGGGGCTTTGAGCATCCCCTCCATTCTCCTGCGGAAGGCCAAACTCCCATCCGCGTAGGCCCCACCCCTTCCCCCTAAGTGGAGAAGCTGGACCGGGTGACGATCATTAACCCTGTCCTGCTGCACCAGCGGCAGTGCGGACAGCTCCCGCACATTGTCACTCCCGAGCCCAGAGAGCCCTGGGGCGGTTAGGCTGGAAAATTGAGCGTCAGAGACCGCTGGGCTCCTGGGTCCCTGCGCCGAGGCTGTATGATGGATGCAGAGGGCACGCTGGGCAGGCCTGGATATTCCAGCAAACTGCTGGGTCCCCCAGAGGTCTGTGTTGTGTGTGTTGGGGGTGGGGGTGCTTCCTAGTCTCTCTTGTGAGAGTCTGACCTAAGGCCGATCCGCCACCCCTGGGCTGCATGCATC